GGGGGGGGGGGGCGGGAACAGTCATTAGCTCTTCTCTTCGTTTCCGCCAGCGGCCGGTGATGATGGCTCCGATGCTGTTGCTGGGGATCTGGAGCGGGGGGAGATCTCGCATCTGCGTCACTGACCTCCCGTGTATGTAGGTCTCGCCGCGTCACGCACAATGTTTCGCAGTTCAGCCACTGCCTGGCGCAGGGGCGCGTGGGCAGCGGCTTCGATGTGTCCTCGGCTGTCCATGGGTCGCATCAGTACCGGCGGTTCTCGCCGGCGGCTTTGACCACTCTGCTGGCCGAGTCGGCCGAGGACGATGAGGGCTTCGTCTCGCCTCCGGTCGCCACTGTCTTCCGGCTTTTGGATGACCAGTGCGTTTGCCTTCATCTTCCACTCTACACTCTCCTCTAAACTAATGAGCCTAACATGTGGCCTCCCCCCTCCCCCTCCCTTCTCTGTGCCAGCGCCGCCTGGGATTCGGAGGCCTCGCCGGTTACCCTGCCTCCTGGCATTTCCATGGTCTTGGCCGACATCGACGCCGGTACCAACACCCCCTCCATGATTGGACAGGTGAACAGCTGGCGCAAGGCCGTCCCGACTGAATGTGCGTGAGCCGTACACAAAATGCCAATGTGCCTGCCTGTCAAATGGGTGGGAGGGAGAAGTGGCGGGGGGGGGGGGGGGGATGACGATGGAGTGAGGAGCGTGATCGGATTACATCCCCCTTTTTTCTCGGATGCCGATGTAAACATGTTTATATGGATATATATATATGTATCTGACCCATCAGGTACACCCGATCGTGTAGCTCTCCAGCTGTGGACGGATCTGGCCGCAGCCAATGCCAAAGTGGTGGCCGTGCTTGACTCTCTGAATGAGCGCCATGCCACCGACCCGGTCGAGTACACTGCGGCTCTGGATGTTTGCTCGACGCTCCGGTCGCATGAGGTGCGTGCGCAAGTCTGAAAACTGATCTTGCCACATATATATATATATATACGTGCTGCATGCATGCGTGTGCCTACCTTGGCCGAAGGCAAGAGATATCAGTGCCAAGCAGTAACTCTGACAAATATGCACATGGATTCATGCTCATTCACAGTGGGCCCAAGCTCTGCCCAACAGTCCGACCGCCGCGGCACTGGTGGCCCTGGCTGAGGCCGGCTCCGCCGTGCGGGCCTTCCTCCGGCGCATGGGTGACGAATCCGGGGCGCCGATTGAGCCGCGTGCGCAGACCCTCCTGATTGATCACACTCTGGCCCAGGCGCCGGGGGCCATCTTTGGCTGCGTCCCCGGGGCCGGTGGCTTTGATGCCGTGGCCTGCCTTTGCATTGGCCAAGTGGGGCGTCAGAATATTGTCAACTTGTGGGAGAGTCTGGCCGCTGCTGGAGATACCGTGACTTCGATCCTTTGCCCCTCGCCGGAGGCCGAGACCGCTGAGGTCCTCGCCCAGGTGCGCGACATCGTTGGGGGTCTGTGTCCGCTGGTGTCAGATGCTGGCCAGGTCGGCCTGAGCCTGTCGACCGTGGCTTAGGTATGTGCGTGTGCGTGTGCACTCGCGCGTCTGCTGAGAGCACGCGCCCATATGCACATGTAGGCGCGCATAGTTTCCATGCAAATACCCTGGACCTATGCGCTTTTGAAGGCTGCATCCCACCCGAATGCAAAACGATCTTTGTGGTGTGAAATAAGCAAACATCGCAGTCACTGAACAGGGAAGCGTGTGTGGGGCGGGGGGGGTGATGATGGGAGAAGAGATCTCTGTGATTCTTGTGCGCCGCAGGCCGGAGCCGTCTATGTGTTTGTGTATTGGAGATGCACATGGTGGGCACTCGCATGCACATGTGCACAGCACATGAACACGCCCGCACAATAGATGAGAATAGAGAGAGAGAGAGAGAGAGAGAGAGGGGGGGGGGGGGGGGAGAGGGGAGGGGAGAGGAGGTGGTATTTGTGGCTCAGGTCTAGAGATGCCTACTGAGTGATCTTCTTAAGGGCCAGATTCTTGCGCTGCTGCTGCACGGCCTTCTTACTTTGAGCCGAGCGACGCGCATTGGTAGCCGGAGATGGGGTGGAGGAGGAGGATGATGATGGCCGGGCTTCGGGGGCAGCTTTATCTGCGGGAGTTCGGTTCGGCCGAACAAGCGTGGGCGCCGGGCGAGCGTCAGGCCGAGAGCCAGCTCCAGTGGCGCCTGTCGTCCGCCCGCCCTCCGCCCGGGAATCCTGATCCGGGCCATCCCGGGACCGGTCAAACTGCGACAGGTTCTCCTGCACCAGCTCGTATGTGTCGTCATAGTCATCCTCATAGGTACTCAGAAGCAGGCGTGTACTCTCGATGGCTGCACGGCGGTCGTCGGTCGAAATCATGCCGGATTTGCTGCTCTGACCTGTGCCACCAGCCTGGCGCAGGACGGTAACGTTGGTTGTGATTTCTGAGACAACAGGAAGGGCAGACAGAGAAGAGCGAGCGCGCGCGAGAGAGGGGGGGAGAGAGAGAGAGGGGGGGAGGGAGGCCCGCGGGCGAGCAGGCCCACGCGCACGCGCGCGCGGAACGGGGAGACGCGGAGGGAGAGAGGAGATGGTTAGAGAAGACAGAGGTGCGAGACAGAAAGAGATGAGGAGGATCAGGATGGGGAATAGCCACACGCACCAGGTGCGCCCCAGACCGTCCCACGAGCCTGATGGATGGATACGGGCCGGGCGGCTGGGCGCAGGATCTCGCGCATTTCCTCAAGGGTAAAGCTGGCCACTGTGTCGCCGAGGGCCGGGAAGTGTGACTGCCCTTCCAACAAGCGAGAGCAGAGAAGCTCCACATTCCCCCCGAGCGAGCGCAAGGCCAACAGAAGGAACCCATCGCCAAACTGCCCGGGCAGGATGTCCGCCACCATGCCGATGGCCTGGTGCTCATCCTCCTTGACGGGGGACCGCATTAGGTCGAAGAGGGCGCGATCCATGCCAAGAGGCGGGTCAATGTCCGCGCCATCGGCGACATCCTCGCCGCCGGCCGTGGACCCGGCGCTGGCAAAGGCCTCGAGGATCTGATGCTTTTCCGCCGTGAAAGTCTCGAAGTACCGAGAAAGGATGTCGGCAAAGAGACCCTCGTCGAAGGCGGCCGAAGACTTGAAGTTAAACAGGGCTGCTGACACACCGATGGCATTGTCGATGCATTCAATAAGGTCATAACGGGGAGGATACTGGATGTGGCAGGCAATGGGGTGTGGCAGAAGGGGGAAGGGGGCAAAAGACATCAGTAACAGAGGGAAAGAGAGAGAGAGAGGGGGGGGGGGAGGGAGGGAGGGAGATCAGGCATAAAGTCTGAAATGGAATGGAGCAACGCACCGCGTGATCCTGCTTGGAGACGAGCACCAGGAAGTTGGTCACCGTCTTCAGCTGCGAGGGGGTGATCGAGCCGGTCTCGGGATGAATGAGGCTATTCAGACGGAGGTGTTAGATAAAGAGAGGCAGAGAGAGAGAGAGAGAAAGAGAGAAAAAATAAAGAGAGAGAGAGAGATAGAGAGAGGGGTCAAGGGCATGAGAGAACACGCCGCGCTGAGGGATGTCTGAAGGCATACCGTCGCACGATGAATGCGTCGAGAAGGCCCTCAAAGAGGCTAATCAACCGTGCCTCCAACAGGATGGCCACCTGGTGAATGAGGTCAATTGGCCGCGCCGCGCGCGTGCCGTCCCCGGCGAAGTCCTCCTCGGTGAAGGACTGCCCTAGCATGTGGAAAAGCTCGGGCAGCAGGCGGAAGTACACCCGAACAAGGGGGCCAGAAGCCAGGTCCGGCCCCAGCCAGCGAGTCATTAGACGCTCGGCCGACCCGGGCAGCCCGCCAGCCGGCAGGATCGACCCCATGCAATGTAGGAACTGCTCCAGCGAAGCCAACTCATCATGCAGAGCGCGCAGGGTCCTGAGCAGGTCGCTGGCCATATCTGGCGCGTCGGTCTCCTCGTCGGCCATTTGCTGGCAGAGAACCTGCCCAGTACCGGTCAGGCGCTCGATGCGAGCCTCCAGCTGCTGGGACTCGGAGATCATCTGCTGCACCTCGCGGAAGCTTCGACTGTGCGCCAGAGCCGAGCGCAGGACATCCCCCATTGGCCCGGGAGCATTGGCCGAAAAGGCTCGGCATGCACGCAACACCGCGTCCATGGTGTAGATGTTGGATTGATCCAGGAGCGACTCGTAATCCTGTGGTAATGGTGTTAGTTGGGCACAAGGTTAACCGAGCAACCAGTGGGCGAGCGAGGGAGGGAGGGAGGGGGAGAAAGAGAAAGAGAGGCAGCGCAGGATGCAAGGGTACACACGTCGGGAGTCAGATGGCGTGACCCCTCGATGGTGGACGCCGCACGGCAGAATGCCGCAAAGACCAGGCGCTGGTGCGTCTCGGCCAGCCGGGCCACCGGATCGGGGACTGGCGAGTGCTTGGTGAAGTCCACCAAGAAGGCATCAGCCGAGGAGGGATGCGGCCCCAGCAAGAGGTAAGCATGCAGGTGAGCAGTCACCGCTGGCGCATATGCAATCGACGACCAGAACTCGGCCCACCGACTGCAAACCACCTCCTGGAGCTGGGACACAAACAGACGCAGGGCACGCTGGTGGAGATCTACCACCTCCGGGGAGGTGACCGGCTCCATGGGAACCAGGGACATGTGATTCATGGAGAAAGTACCACCGGCCTCGGCGGCAGCCATGAGATCCAGCTTGGCGCTGGCCTCCGAGGGCAGACGCATGTGGTGCGCAAGCACCGACAGCGAAATGTACGGCGCAAGCAGGGTACCGGAGGCCTTTTCCGGGGTCATCTGCTCCAACTGCATGCGATGCAGCTCGCGCGGGGCGGCCTGCTGCGCGGTGGTGGCAGAAGACCCGGCAGATCCACGGGCCCGTCGGGGCCGGGTCGCCGTATCCTCGGGAGGTCCATCGTGAGTGCGGCTGTTTTTTTCCCCCCGTCCCTGGGGCCGGGCGTTTGAATCCTTGGAGCCCGTAGACTCGCCTGGCTGCTGTGTGGAGGAGGTCGCAGCGGCCTGCACAGCGTCAGGCTTCTTCGGAAGATTGGGCCGAGTGTGCGACGGGCGGGACGAGTAGGTGGACCGACTGTGTCTGCTGTGGGTCACATGGCTGCGCGAGGCGGCGTTCGGCCCGGAGGACGCCGGCCCACGGCCTGGACGCCCGGAGTATCCGGACGACATGAGTAGCGTGTGTGCGGGGGTGTGAGGCGCTTCGGGGAGGGGGGAGGGGGAGGGGAGGGGGAAGAGGGGAAAGTAGGAGGAGAGGAGGAAAGGGGGGGGGGGCGGATGAGAGAAGGGTCGGAAGTGGGAATGGTGTGGGGCACCGGTGCTTCAGAAAACAACCAGGCCAGCCGAAGAGGCCGTATGTCAAGATGGAGAAGTCCGCCCCGGCCGCTCTCTGGCAAACTGCTGGATCCAGGCTGCCCCCGGGGCCGGCCAAGGGTGGCCGGGTTGCATCACTCGCTGTCTTGCGCGCAAGCGCGTTGCGCATTGGTGGTCATCCAGATCTGCTGGGGCTCGGTGACGGCCGGGCCGGGCCGGGCCGGGCCGGGCCGGGCCGGGCCGGGCCGGGCCGGGCCGGGCCGGGCCGGGCCGGGCCGGGCGGGCGGGGGGAGGGGGCCAAAAGAGATGTCGGTTCCCGGGTGGCCGGACCCCCCTGGTCGAGGGGCACTGCCAGGCTGTCCGGTGGTCCCTGCTTGCGCAAGAAGAAGGCGGCTTCGCGCGCGTGCATCTGTGAAATGTGCACGCGCGCAGCGCGGAGGGGAGTGTCCAGGCGGACTTTAGCTCCGCATGCTGGTGTACCAGAATCTTTAGGTGCCAATGCACAAGTATCCGACCCGGGAGTGGAGGATCGCGGACACCGGAAAGGAGCCGCGATGCTGCGGCGCGAGTCAGCGCGTCTTGGCCACAATCGGAGGAACAAGGACAGTCTATTTCAAGCGATGGGGGGTGGCACATCGCGGGCGGGCACACCAAACTGAGGGGCCATCGCCTTGGAGGGGAAGGAGGAGGGAGGGGGGAGAGAGACGGGAGAGGAGCGCGACACGCCTCGGTGCGTGTCGGGGCCGGGTACCGGACTTGGGGGATAATGTACAGGAAGTGGAGGAATGTGGAGGAGGAAGGGGGCGGGGGAGAGGGACACACGGTCGCCGACACATGCGCATGAGGTAGGAACAAAAAAGGGGGACAGGCGCCGGTCCCACCCCGCAGCGCATGCGGCACCACCGCTCGCAGAGTGGGCCGGCCAGGGCGGGACGGGGCGGGGCTCGAGGCTAAAGATCGCCGAGCGGAGAGAAGGGCATCGCGGAGGGCGGAGAGGGGGAGGGGGCTGCCAGCCAGCCTAGCTGGTGGAGTTGGCGGCCATCGAGCGAATGACCTTGACGAGGGGTGACAACTCGCGGGTGTCGATCAGCCGGAACTCGATGGCGAAGAGGAGGAAGTGTCCGAGGCAGGCGTCCAAGTGACAGCGCTCGTTGAGACCGGTCAGCAGCTCCAGGTGGTCGCGGTAGACGTGGGCATAAATCCGCAGCAAGCGGCGGAAGATCCGGCAGACGATATCGAAGAAGTCGGGGGGGTACTCGGTCTCGAGGCCGATGGGGAAAATGGTGTCGCTGGCCAGCAGGCTCTGGACCCAGCTCAGCAAGCGATCCATGTACTCCGGGGCCGAAAGGCGGACCGGCTTGGCCGTGGACACATCATCGGCCCACCGGTATTCGTGGCGCTTGCCAGCAGACATTGTGGCACAGGTGCTCGCCGTGCAAATGCCAACCAGGCTGCCGTAGATGAGGTTCAGTTGGTTGAAGAAGTCGATGGCTAGATTTAGGGGGGGAGGGGATGGAGGCACAGTCAGTATCCCCGCCCGGGGCAGGACGGAGAGGGAGGGGGGAGAGAGAGGGGGGG